GACGTGTGTCCCTCCACTAATAGGTGTAGGGTTCTATACTTGAGAAATTGGTACTTCAGACGCTGTTGGGTTTTTTTTGAAGTCCTTCTTGTTCTTTATGAATCAAGTGCGATTCCGGGTGTGTGTAAGCATGTTACCGGGTATAGAATTATAAATAAAGGTAATCAGCGCACCCCCGCCTTAAGATGGCGAGACAGTCAATGTGATGCATGCTTGTGCTAAGGCGAGCACTACATGCGAAATGTGGCCCCATAGCACTCACTTTTTTAATGATGTCAGGAGTGCCTGGAATCTGTCCAGCTGCTGATAGATGGGGATATAATTACAGTGAGCCCTCTTAACAGAGCCCCTGCTATGGGGGTTAGTCTCTATTCCCGTTGTACCACCGGAGCTGTTTGCGTGGGCGCTAAGGTGCTGCTGTTTGAGTTCTCCTAAACCTCTGCGCTTTGAAGTGGACAGCCTCTCCGCCCAACGGGGGGGGGAGGGGGGCCCCCAACCCTACGGCGCCTTAGAAAAGGTTTCCTCCGGCCTGACCTTTGCCGCGTGGCGTGCATGTAGCCGGGCTGACAGCCTGGAGGAATCTGTGCACCGTGGAGGGGGGCAGGGGGGGCCGATGCAAACACTCTGCATGTTAGTAGACGGGGGGGGGGCGAAGGTAGATGATGTGTTTTTGCAACCTAAAGTGACACATGGGGGCGGAGCTAAGTGCAACCGGCATTTTCTTCCTAGTGGCGGGAGAAGCCGGCTGCACGTAGCGTGGTGATGGAGAAGGCCGGCGGCTCGGTCACCACCAGACTGAAAGGCGGCTGTGAGGCTCCAGTTGTTGAGTTATTGAGCTTCTTGAACGTTACACAAAGGAACCGTTGTTTTTGAAGAACATGGGTCTAATTGCCACTTCATTTCCTTCTTCGTTAACGTTGTGAACGATGGAAAAGGTCAACGAGGGAAGGTGAAGTGGTGAAAGTGAGGACACCTCTTCACGATAGTTTCCGTCATTTCTAAACAAAATGCTATTGAGCCAAATGTGCGTCTTCATCCGTGTTGCTCCGCCGCACGGCCGCTTCGTTTGGATTCACACACGTGAGCCGGGAGCCCATCTGGGTCCCGGGGGGGTCGGTCGGGGGGGCTTTGAAGAGTTGGGGGGGCGCGCTGGGTTTGTGGCGTTAGAGGAAGGACTGTTTCAGGAGTTTGAGCTGAGGCGATGGTGCGTTCAAGTCCTCCTCTGTCTCTGGTAAAAAACAGACTCGGGTTGAGATGAAGTGCAAAAGGAGAGCAGACTTTTACTCTCCTCCTCCGTACGGGAATATAAAATACTGTGTTTGAAAGGCGATTGTCACACATCTCTCCACTTCTGGGAGCTGTAGTTTTAATTGAAAGAGTTTCTCTGTGTGTGGAACGTCAGCGGAGAGAAGGAAGTTCAAGAAGACGGAGCTGCTGAAGCTGAAGGAGGTCTGACGTGGAACAGGGGCGATGGAGAGGCCGAGCCTCAGGATGGGAGAGCTGTTGCATAACATCGTAGCCTCCGTCCTTACGTGACCTCTTTCCTCTACTTGTCTCTGCACGCTCCAAAGGAAGAAACGTCCTTATCGTCCTGTTTAACAATTCTCTCATAGCCGTCACACGCTCTGTCCTGTGTGTCTCAATATGAGCGTGGGGAAATATTGGGGAGACATTGGGGAGACATTGGGGAGACATTGGGGAGATATTGGACAGACGTTGGGGAGACGCTGGGGAGATATTAGGGAGATATTGGACAGACATTGGGGAGACGTTGGGGAGACGTTGGGGAGACATTGGGGAGACATTGGGGAGACATTGGGGAGACATTGGGGAGATGTTGGGGAGACGCTGTGGAGACATTGGGGAGATATTAGGGAGATATTAGGGAGATATTGGACAGACATTGGGGAGACGTTGGGGAGATATTGGGGAGATATTGGCTCCACTAGATGTCGAACAGGGTGAGGGTGGAGCCTTGAGAAGCGTCGACGTCTCACATATAATGATAACATGTTATATATTGAAACCACGAGGACCTTTTCTTGTTTCCTCTCGAGCGCACACATCTGTACCACACAAAGTGTCGCTTAGAAATCACCGTGATGCTGCGAGTGTTTTCATTCTGAGCCACACTTGACAGTTTGACAAATATTAAGAAATGTACTTGAACTTAAATACTTCAATTCTGAAAAAGTGTGCAGCAGGAAAGTAAACAAAATCAAGCTTCTGGTGTGGATGAAAACACCTTTATACTTTTTGACACTATTGGAATGTACCTGTTGATGTTTGGAGGCCCTGAAACAAGCTGATGGAGGTTTTATTCCTTCACCTGGTGACAGTTTGACTTTTCTCCTCAGTGTCCTTCAGTGTGCGATGGCCTTTAAGCTGTTTCCCCCCCTTTCTCCCTTCTCTCCCCCCCCCCCCTCCAGGGCATGAGCAGTCTGTTCAGCTCCCTGAAGGTGGTGCGCCTGCTGCGTCTGGGCCGGGTGGCCCGGAAGCTGGACCACTACCTGGAGTACGGCGCGGCGGTCCTGGTGCTGCTGGTGTGCGTGTTCGGGCTGGTGGCTCACTGGCTCGCCTGCATCTGGTAAACTGCTTTTTAACTCGCGGTACCTAATTAAACGCCAGCTGATGTTTAGACACATTTCTGCTCCGTTTAAGGTCACACTTCTACCTTAATTTAATATCTCCAGAGCTGCATGGACTTTTCCTGCTTGGATGAAAGTGAGAAGTTCATAAGTGAGTTGCCCCGATGACTGAATATGAGCCTCATTAGACCTTTAAGTGATGTTGTGCTCCTGCATACGTGATTCCTGGATTTAATGATGAAGACATTATATTTAGTGTATTAATGTTAAGGATTTGTGCATCAACAACAAAGCATCACATGTCTTTAAGGGGCATTTTGTCCCGTGTTGCACAGTAGAAGAAAAGCAGAACTACCAGCAAGAACAAAACGAACCAGGAAGGTGAAGAAGATGCTGAACGGATCTCAGGGTTCCTCATCTTGATGTGAGACGCTGTCCTCAACAGGTACAGCATCGGCGACTACGAGGTCATCGACGAGACCACCAACACCATCAATGTGGACAGCTGGCTCTACCACTGGCCCTCAGCATCGGCTCGCCGTACCGATACAACGCCAGCGGCACGGGCCGGTGGGAGGGCGGCCCCGGCAAGGACTCCCTGTACATCACCTCGCTGTATTTCACCATGACCAGCCTGACCACCATCGGCTTCGGCAACATCGCGCCCTCCAGCGACGGGGAGAAGATCTTCTCCGTGGCCATGATGATGGTGGGATGTGAGTAATTTGTTTCTAGTCTCACAGACCTGCAGCCGATGAAAGCTGCAGAAAGCTGCGACGTGTGTGATCAATGCCATGCGGTTAATGCGGGGAATCGTCCGGACTGATTAAGGAGCGACTTCTTCATGCTGGACGCAAAGTGAGGAAATCCTTGGTACACATTGTGTCCGCACAAATGTGGGTGGATTTGATCTCATATTCATTTAGAATGGATGAAAAGTGAACTGTGCAGACACAGAGGAACACACAACTCTTTGCAGGTGAAACTCTTTGTGTTGGTCCCCGGTGATGAACGATTCCCCCGCTGCACCCTGGGGCGTCGCAGGAGAACCGACTACAGAGGAGGGCGATGTTTACATCTCTTCTTTGAACTGGTTTCTCCAAAAGATCCAGCAATTAGTCCTCGGATGTGTGCCGGTGTGTGTTAGTTGCTGCTGTCTTCTCGTGGTTAAAGATCTTTGAAAGGGGAGAAGAAGGCAAATAATCCCCATGCTGATGGTTGTGTTTGTTCTGTTCTACGAATCTATTGGTTCATCCGTCTTTAAGGATCAAACCTTGCAGCTGTGTGGAGAGATTGGTTGTGTTTTGCTGTCTGGGCCCGAAGCAGCTCGTGTAACAGCGTGTTTGTGCTGTCAGGGAATCAATGATTAAAATCTGTGCTCAGAAGACTTATTTCACCAAGTGGTTCTCCTGGAAGCTGTGACGGAGGAACCGAGGCGGCATGTGGATCCGTCGGTGTCGAGGTTGAACAGACGCAGACAGGAAGTGGAGCGGATGGCGAGTGAAGTCGGTGAATCTGTGCGCCGGGTTTTCTTCCTTCGGGCCGAAGCCGCTGCGCATAATAATCCATAATTCAGCGGGTTCTTTAAGCTCGAGCGCTCACGAGGTCTCGTCGTGTAGAACGGCGCTCGCGTGGAACCTCTGGATGAGCTGTTTCCTGCTCAATGATGCAGGACGTGTATCAGGAATAAATAGTGGATGTGATAAAAGTACAACATAGCAGAAGCAGTTTGTGGTATTACCACTACTCTCTGTAGTATTTCATATCTTCCTGTGATTCTCCGGCGTCTGAAGCGTTTAGCAGGAAACAGCAGCTCCTCTCGGCCAGCGTTCAGCGCGACAGACGCTCGGGGAGCCGGCGGACCTCGTTCTGGCCGCCGCGCCGTTTCTGTGTCTTTGTTTCGGTCCAATGCGGCGGGGGAGAGCGGGGGGAAGAGGGGGGGGGGGCAAGCCAGTACCTCCGCGGGCCGTCCTCCCTATTGTTTGTTCCTGGCACGAAAACAATCCAGAGACGTGATGTCTTCTTCTTCCTCTTCTTCCTCCTCTTCTTCGGCCCAGCGTCTCGTGTGCAGCGCCGTGATGTCACGCAGACGCTGAGCATCCATTTTCGTTTCCACGCGTATGAACGCAGGAGTGATGAGTTTTTGCATCATGGAGAGGAATGATTATTCTGTATCACTAACTGGAAATATTACAGCTGTGCTAATGGGTATTAAATATTAAACTGCTGCTTTTGTTTTTAGCGCCGGCTGTGACTTTAATGCGTAATTCATCATCTTTCAAATAAATAATATTAATAAGTAACACATCCAAATTGGCACGTTATGTCTTTAGTTACGGGTTTTTACAGTAATTCATCAGGTTGTTGAGTTCTGGTCTCGTGATGCTGAATGACGCTGTGATGGGAACCTGCAGGTGTAAGACGTCACTTCTTTTATCTAGAAACAAACCATGTCCTTTGATGGGTGGAAGTCAAGGCCTTTTTTCTTCTTTTTTAGCTGTTTTATAGAAAAACAAAGTTGACCTTGACTTGGCGAAGCTGTTGATTCGTCTGGATCCGTCAGCAGATTCCACTGATGATTTGATGCCCGCTTGCAGACAACACGTCCTCATCAGGGTCATCGGGGGGGGTTTCTTCTCAAAAAATGTCCTTTTTATTGACGTCCAGGACTAAACGGGTTAAAGGTTTATACAAATGTTTGGGATGGCGAATAACGTATAATCGGCCCAGACTGAACCACACTTACATGCTGTTAGTGGGGGAGGATCTGCCCCCCCCCCCACCCTCCTCCCCCATGTCTCACACCTCGTTGTCACCGGCGGTTCTGGATTAATGGACCACTTGGACCCGAATGGCTCCTGTGAACACGCGGCGTTAAGTTCTGAGGGAAACGCCGTCACGCACAACGCCCACGCAATCACTCAGAGACACACGCTCCAGAAATACACACAAGCACATCAGCACACACACACACACACACACACACACACACACACACACACACACAGTGCACCGAACAAACAAAAACACAAATACACACAAAGCTCAAAATACACCCGATACACAAACGCACAATGTGCCAGACACACACACAGTGCACCTGCAGAACTACACACATGTGAACACACGGTTCTCTCGCACAATTGCACACGTTTAATTACACACCGCTCCAGCTCATTAACACACAGCAGTTAATGTATAGAAGCATAAAGAGCCATTAGCGTAATCATCACCAGTTAATTGTTTCTAATTACCTATTAGCATTAGCATTAGCATGTAGCATTAGCATGTAGCATTAGCATCCCCATCCAGCCGAAAGTGTGTGAATCCCTTCATGCAGGTTCGGTCTAATTGCCTGAGAGAGAAGATTCTTTTCCTGAACTCGACCCGCTTTTCTTTTCTCACTTAAGAAAAGAAACAAACGAGGCTGTGGAAGGTTCTGCCGGCTACAGGAGGGGGTGTGTGGAGGTACTTTAACGGGACAGCTGGATCGGGTGAGCCGGGTCAAAACCACTCGAGATGCTCTGCAGAGCCGACTGGTGCAACACGAGAACAAGAGGCGTGAAGAGCGAACCCCGGAATCCGCTGCTTTTGAGCTCCATAGATTCTCACAGCGGGAAACTTTTGTTTACTATAAAATGATTCATTATTTAAGTGTTTCTCAATAATCTCCTTGACCTAACAAGTATTTTTGTTTCTTTAGACTAAGTTGTGACGACGGAAGTTTATTTTGAAAAGACTGAAGCAGCAGATGTTTTTTTATAGGGAGCAATAGAAGCGTTGTTTGATGTATTATTTGATATCATATCTTATTAAATATTATAGACGATACAATCTGATGGGAAATCTTAAAAACACACGCTCACGTGAAAGGCGGCATCTCGCGGTGCATCATGGGAAACACCTGGGCTCGGGAGGCTCTGCACCCGGCGAGGCGGAAGGATGGGGACGATTTGGCCGGCGGCCCCCCGGCTTCACGGCCCTGCGTGCTAAGCCGAAGAGACTTACCAGACCCAGC